GTGTCATAGTGCTCATTTCCCACTTTTATCATGTTTTTCAGGTCAGGATGTTGGGCGGGGAGCGTGACGTGACGGAGGCTTCAGGACATTTGTGTTTTTGACTGTATATTTATGATGATGACTTACGCTTCCGCGAATGATGTTTTGATGACTTTTGACGATGTTTGATGACTTTTTACATACTCATATTTTGACGAACTTATCTTTTGATGAACTTTTGGAAACTTATTCTTTCAGTAATCCGGATGATTTTATAAAAATTAAAATAACGGTTTTCTAAATTAAGTCACGATTTTAAGGTAGCACCCCGAATCAGTTTTCGCAAAGTAAAAAGGCTTTATTTTTAAATAACTTTGCGAATTTCTCGCACTCTGATTTAACGATAAGGAGGGGTGTTACAATTGGTATCAGAGCCAGGTTTCTGCATCTCTGAAAAAGTTTTTTTTTAGTCAGTAAGTTTTCAGAAAAACCTGAACCGTCATGCTCACGCCCCACCGACGACAGGTAAGTGCTGATTCAGTTTTTCAGTTATAAACATATTACTTTGTCTATGCTCAGAACTAAGGATCAGGACTTTAGTTAAGATGCTCGAATCAGGTTCAGACTTTAGAGTTCGGACATGACTCTAGAATTCAGGGCCTTCAGATATAACTCTAGAGTTCTTCAGGATTCACGTCAGTAATTATCGGCCACTTTTGGCAACTCGTCGAGAAATTTGTGTGCCTAAGTAATCAGTTAGAATGTTATCACGTATTCAGTAATGTTAAACTTCTCAATGTTCAGATGCCGCCACGTAGGGAACCCGATCATCAGGCTCCTACTCAGGCTACGGTAGTCGCTCAGTTCCGCGACTATCATGCCAAAAAGTTCTCAGGGCAGGGAGATCCCCGCATCGTTGATGAATGGATTCAGGGCATAGAGTTTATCTTTGAGGTTATGGACTGCCCCGATAGATATTGCGTAATCTGCGCTCAGCTTCAGCTCACTGGTGATGCAAGGCTCTGGTGGAATGCCTACTGGAGCATGCGTCCCAGTGAAAAAGCGGGTTGTACATGGGACATGTTCAAGGAGCTAGTCCGCGATAAGTACT